GCATGTGTAGCATCAAGCTGTGCTGACCACCTTGTTGTTGATAATGATTTTATGACATCTCCATGAATGGTTGACTTGAGTAACTCCACCCAAAGCATTGAACGAGAAAAAATTGAAGAGTGGGTTGTAAAAGTCCAAAAAATGAAACTGCAGCGACACAACACTCCACAGCACATGACCCCAAAAAGATTAAGAGAATGTGCTGAGCAGGCACATATCAGCAAGTGGGTTGATTTGCTTGATACGGGCTTGCAATCCATTATATTTACCCGACATGTTACTTGCATTGTCGTAGCTCTGGGCCCTGGCAATCCATAATAGAGAGATCATGTTCAGGCAGAGTATCCAGTACTACATTTATCATTGTTTTCCATCATGGCCTGAAAGAGGAATGAATTTTATAAAGCACTCACAGGCTTACCAAATGGAGTCGACAAAGCGAACAATGAATGTCAATTGATCTGTATGTGAAATATCTGGTGTTGAATCTACACTTATTGCAAAGTATTTTTCAGTTTTCACAGCTGCTATGATGTTATGAGGACCTTCTTAGTCATAGTTCAATAAATTCAATGCATATAGTAGATGACATGTAAGAATACAGTGCCTCTTCCCCATTTCCAAGGCAATGACACATGATTTGCTAAGAATGGATCGAATTGTGCTAACAGTTCTATGATCCCTAAGAAATTGCCATTGTTTTCCAAACCAAAAACCTCATTTTCTCCATGGAAAGCAAGTCCTCTTAGAGCTAAAATTTTACAACAGCAACAACTCCTTCTAGAACTTTTCTCCAATAAGTGCGCTCTTCTTCAGTTTGATTTTCCAAATGAGAATCCAATAAGCCTTTTTTCTGTGCACGAAATACACTGGCTAAAATGCAGCTCCTGTGAGTGGTGCTGTTTTCATGTTCCTCGAAAAGCTTGGAATTTTTTTTCCAGTCACTGAACCCCTGTGTGAAGGTATTTTCTTTGGTAGAAAATAGCTTGCATGCTGAAAGTACACTTTTCCTGAGCTTTCAGAGTATACCATCCATGGGTCTTTTCACAGTTTCTGAATTTGCAAGCTTCCTATAAAACATAGATGACTTTAAACAACGACGACTTCCATCATCATAAATCCTTGCGATTTCCTAAAGTCAATGTTCAGAGTTTTTACTGAAGTTTTCGCAATGAAAGCATTACGTAGAGAATCTGGGGTTACATTTGGCCATGAGGCAGGATCTTTTAAGACAAATCCTGTGGATGAAATGTCCGTTGAGACATTTAGAAGACACAAAAGAAGTAGATGCTGGCTGAGAAATAATGGAGGGAGGGCTTCCTGTATGACTGACGTATCTGCAGATCAACTGTACTGTTAACATCAGAAACTGTTTTCGTGAGCATGTCTGTGATCTTTCTGCAGCTTCCTACATCTTTCTTTTTCTGTTTTTCTTTTTGAATTTTCTTTTTTCTTTTCTGTGACCCACTCGCTTTAAAAACGTCCAACATCACGTTCACAAGATGCCATAATGAGGGTGGGATCACTGTCTGTAATCATGCAATGCAAATTTTTCATTATCAATTATTATTAAATTTTTTAATTATTAAATTTTTTTTCTGTCAATTGGGGGGATATGGCCCTTGCAAAACCCCCTTTCCTCTGGGTGCGCATCTAAAAATTTATAACGTTACCAGAAAGGAGTCATGTACAGAACTTTTACCATAGATTAGGGTTTGTGATTTGGGCTACGAATATTTTTACTAATTCATCCTCCTTGATCTCCAATTTACTTAAACAGAAATCATACCGAGTCCAAGAACAATGCACAATGGTATTTATATTACCATTTTCATAACTAAACTAATCATTATGTTTTGGGAGATATATGGCCTACCACCATAAGATAAAGGGCATGAAATTAAAGAATGCAGGGACAATTTTCAGTTCACCCAACCAACGATTTTCTGATGTGGGTTATGTGTTTCTGGGGAAAATGTAGTAAATTAATTGATGTTCTACATCACTTCTGTCGCAAACTTGAAAAATAAGCATTTGCGACGGAAGTGATGTAGAACATCAATCAATTGAGATCTGTTATTGAAATGATGAAGACTTAAAGACAGGACAAAGTGCTTTTAAAAAACCCACAAACGGAAGTCAGTTTCGTTTTTAGGCTTTTCTTTTAAGTATTTTTACCAAAAATGAGCCCTTTTCTGGTCCATGCATCTTACTGGTCAAGTAACCCTATCAGGTACCTCCCTTAACATTAGAGGCGAAAACATTATCCATACACATCAATGTCTATCAACAACACTTCAGTTTAATTTGTCACAGTACAAGTCTAGATAACGTGTAATTACTTCAGAAAATTGGAGAGGAATCTCCCATACCACCCATTAGCGGGGAAAAAACAGCTGTTCTGATGTAAACAAAGGCGTGTTGAGTGTTGCCATCTATGGTTAGGTTTATTTATTTTTATTTTATTTTATTTCATTATTTATTTTTGTTTTGATTAATTTTTAAAAATCAATTTTACTCTCCAAACACTTGAACTTTTTAGGCAGGGACCCCTTTGCACTTGCACCATGTGCGCAGTCTTGGATGAGCCCCTGAACCCCTTGGACCGCGGGGCCCCCAAATGCGCGGGGCCCTAGGCAAATGCCTAGTTTGCCTATGCGGTAATCCGGCCCTGGATGGATAATGAGAACCTTCAAGGCTAGGGATGCCAAGCCCATGATGATTCATTTCAAATCGCTTGTGCTTTTTAGGCTGGAAAACTAATGGTCCCCTTCAAGGCTGGCGACATTGCAGACCTGGAGAGTGTACAAAGAACTTTCACAGCACACACAAGTACGATAAGGCACCTAAACTACTGGGAACGGTTGAAGGTCCTTGATCTGTATTCCCTCGAATGCAGGCGAGAGAGATATGTGATAATATACACCTGGAAGGTCCTGGAGGGATTGGTACCAAACCTGCACACAAAAATCACTCCCTATGAAAGCAAAAGACTCAGCAGATGCAACAGTCCCCAATGAAAAGCAGGAGCACCACGAGTACACTGCGAGACAACACAATAAGTGTCCGGGGCGCAAGGCTGTTCAATTGCCTCCCAAAATACATAAGGGGGATTACCAACAGACTCCAGGCTGTCTTCAAGAAGGCACTGAACAGGCACCTAAAGTCAGTACCTGACCAATCGGGCTGTGGTTCGTACATCAGCTTGAGTGCAGCCAGCAGTAACAGCCTGGTTGATCAGACCCTGATCCACCATGAGGCCTGATCTCAGACCAGGCCGCGGGGACGTTGATCCCCGAAACCCTCTCCAGGTAAACTCCAGGAGGTATGATAGCTCATGGAGCAGGGAGAGAGAGGACCTAGTAGCGATCAGTGAAAAGGTAGGGCCAGGAGCTATGTTTTGACCCCTGGAATCACTAATAGGCGAGTACAAATAGACGAGTACACTCATTCACTTTCACACACACTCACTCATTCACTCTCATACACTCACTCATTCACTCTCACTCATTCACTCTCATACACACTCATTCACGGACTCTGCATATATGCCATAAAGTACTACTGGTACATAAATAATAATAACATATTTCTATATGTACAAGGTATACAGGCCTATTTGACATCAATGATACACTACTTTATAGAAAGCCACTGGTTATGAAGAGCATTTCAGTAATTTTGCAGAGCATTAGGTAATTTTGTCCCAGGATATGACCCACACCAGTCGACTAACACCCAGGTACCAATTTTACTGATGGGTGAACAGGGACGGCAGGTGTCTCGTGGAAACAAGATCTAATGTTTCCAGCTGTACTGGAGATTCGATCCCTGGGCCACAGTGTGTGAGTTAAGTGTGCTAGCAATTGAGATACTTGACACCTTATCAAGGCTGTCAACACCCTTGGTTACTGAATATTAAGAAAACTAATAAAATACTGTATCCTTTTCTTCTCTTTTATGGAGATCAATGGCATAAAATACCGACTTGATAGAAAAGTGGACACAAATGTAGTACATTGCAGTCTTTTATTAACTATTTTGGGCAAGTCACAAACAAATCTACATGAGCAGAGATCTTCTCCACTTCTACTCTCAACATGATACCAAAACTAAACTTGGCATAATCATAGGCTTCTTCCTTCGTGCCCTTTGGATCAGTAGGAAGAATGCTCTTTTATTGAACTAGTATTTTCTAGGCTTCACTATCCTCATTATTTCATCAGAGATTGTAGATGCTGTGCATATAACATCTTTGACTCTCACAGACATGACACCACCAAGAGAAGATACCCAGTCCTCTTTACTAACTCCATTGCCATACATGTCTCCAACATCTTTTTCAATACCGCAATCCAAGTATCTTCCTCTACATCCACCATCAACAAAGACATCACCAGTAAGGGACACCATAAGATTCAATCCTCTGCAGGGGAATACATAATCTCTTGCAATGACTGCAACCAATTATACGTCAGCAAAACATCAAGAGACCTTCAAACATGTATTTTGGAAAACCAACAATCAGTAAAATGAATGACTTGAGGAATGCCTGTGTTTTACACCAAAACTCCCCCAACCATTTAATTCACTACAGGGAAGAAGACATCTCCTGATCAGGATCTTGGAATCATCACTCATCTCAACAATTTTAACCAGAACAACGGCTTTAACAACATAGCAGAATATCTTGCCAGGAAACTTTTTCATTGTTATCATACACAGCAACAGGCCTACTGACCTATGCTGCATGGGTCCTCAAATCCAACTTCTTAGCAATCAACTTCAACATTCTCTGCCGCCTGACCCTTCACGTCACTATGCTCCCTACATAAACTCGCATACTCTCTGCTCAGGTAGATCTGTTTGTGACTTGACAAAGTCCACTGTATGGGTGAAATGTTAAAAAAAAGAGTGCATTATACTGCATTTGTGTCTACTTTTCCTTCTCTTTCATCTTTAATCTATTAAAAAAAGACATTACTACACATTGTTTATACCTGAATGCACATTTAGAACAGTTCCAACAAGGTCACTTCCCCGATGTCTCTGGCTCCATAAGCAATCCATAGCCTGACGAGCTTTTTCCTCAAAAATGGAGTCACCTGTTAGTCGAGATAGGGCTGCAAATTCCAAAATAATAGTTCCAGCACATGCTGTGCAAGTATCTCGAGAGCTCTGTAGTTTCGGGGACTTCATACCATACTTTAAATTAACCTGTAAGTACAAACTCTATTAGCCGACTATAACTTTATGCACTATATAATGTACAAACTATGGAATACACCCTAATTTATTCTACAATACTTCCTTAGTGGACCCCCCAGGTGTCCACAGACCACAAGTTAGGAACCGCTGGTCTAGGAGAATGGAAGGTATACAGATTAGATTCAAGGAAGGGGAGCACAGGTCCCCTGCAGTTATATAAAAATATAACAAAATCATTCTACAGTACAGGAATACCTTGCATAGCACAGTTAGTAGGTGCCGAAAAAGTTATGTGCGATGCAAAACCATACTGATTAAAACAATGATACAATTGTTAAATAAGTGTGCAAAGCCATTGTCTACCAAAACAAACCAATTTTGTCAATACAGTGGACCCCCGCATAACGATCACCTCCCAATGCGACCAATTATGTAAGTGTATTTATGTAAGTGCGTTTGTACGTGTATGTTTGGGGGTCTGATATGGACTAATCTACTTCTCAATATTCCTTATGGGAACAAATTCGGTCAGTATTGGCACCTGAACATACTTCTGGAATGAAAAAATATCGTTAACCGGGGTCCACTGTATTAAAATACATGTATGTTCATCCTTACAGCCTCATTTCCCAATCACTTCTTTTAACTCACTGGGAAATTTTTCAGCATCATCATTATCAGCACTAGCACTTTCCCTTACAATTCTAACAATATAAAACCAGCCATAACTTCCAGGAAAAGTTTCCCATTCATCTCCATTTTCCTTTACCACCCCATGAAGTCTTGTTGTTATTTTAGCATACAATGCCCCTTATTTATGTCTCTTTATAATTTCAAGTTATTGTTCTAGTGCAAGTGGTGAGTAATGCAGTTCACTACCACACTACTGTTAAAAAATATTAATTATTATACAAAGTACTACTGTGCATCATTTTTGGGAATAAACCATACCCCTAATTATATACTAAAACTAACAACAACAAATTAGATACAAATGTGGAAAAATTTCTAGGCTTGCTTTCATGCAGCAAATTAAATTTTTTTTTTCTTTTTCCTTTTTGACACACTGGCCATCCACCACCAAGGCAGGGTGAAAGAAAAGAAAAGGAAACATTTACCAACATTCATTCAATCAATATCTTTTTAGAAGTGTTCTGACATCACAGTTCAGACAGCATTATGAACTGCAACATCCCCAATTCTCCTCTAGAGTGCATTCTCTGTACTTCCCACCTCCACAACTGAAGTCCAGATAACTGGTTTCCCTAAATCTCCAACAACACATCAAGCCATAAACAACTTGCCTCCACTTACTTGTATCTAATATGATCACAAAAGCCTGCTGGATGTTCAATCCCCTATCATTCAATATCTCCCTTCCTTCCTACCTTCCTACCTCCCTCCAACACCTCCAGAAACATCCCCCACCCTTCTTTCCTTCTACCTAGATTTATAAGCCCTCTTTATCACCACCTCAACAGCCTTCTGAATTACACTTTTGGTAACTCCACACAGTCTTCTAATTTCTATGCTCTGAATTCCTACATATTATTCACATCACATTGCCATCAAACATTACATCTCTACTGACCTCAGCCTCCTCCTGGCTGCAACATTTAAAACCCACACCTCACACCAATATAACAGTGTTAAAATAGATATAAAGTTTTTTGCCTACACCTTTTTTTTTTATCCTCATTTATTCTATGATTCACTTTACAATTCATAGACCAATCTGCTGACAGGACCACTCCCAAATATCTAAATACATTTACTGCATCCATACTCCCTCCACTTACATCTTCGTGCCTAGGGAGCTACAATCTTTCAGTGTCTAGATTTTTTGTTACTCTCATCACCTTGCTCTTTCCTATGTTTACTTTTACTTTCCTTCTTTAAAATACTCTCCCAAATTTCTCCACTAACCTTAAAGCATGACCTAATAGAATACTCAATTCTCTTGTATTCATTGTAACTTATCTAATGACCATATATACTGTTACTGCTTTATTAATCTTAAGTTAGTTTTAAGTTTGTGCAAAATGCTCTGCATATAAAGGGGTGTTTGGAATGTACAACCAACTATTATATTCATTTGTACAAACATGTATCATATCAAAATTAAATATTATTATTGTATTATTATTATTACATGTATTACTTTTATTATTATTATTATTATTGCAACTTTTCTTCAGAATCTTCCAAAACAACTATTATCAGCAAAGAGCAACTGAGACAACTCCCACATTGAACTGAATCCAATATCTTTTAACTCCATACCTCTCCCCAACACACTACCATTAATTTACTTTACAACCCATCAGTTAATACATTAAACAACTATGGTAACATGACGCATCTCTGTCCAAGTCCTGCTTTCACTGGGAAATAGTCCCCTTCCCATCTACACACCTTAACCTGAGCTTCCGTATTCACACAAACTTTTAACTGTTTTTGGTAACCTACCTCCTATTCCATAATTTGCAACACCTGCCACAATAAATACCTCTCCATCTTATTATTTCTAATTTTTTTTAGCACACTGGCCATCTCCCACCAAGGAAGGGTGATTAAAAAAAAAAAAACACTCTTTTACCATCATTCATACTATCACTGTGTGCAGATACGACAGTTTAGATGTCACTCTAAACAGTCAATACCCCAAACCCCTCCATCAGAGTGCAAGAACTGTACTTCCCACCTCCAGGACTCAAGTCTGGCAAACTGAGTTCTAATTATAAATATTTATACCCAAAAAGCTGTGCATCCTATGGGCAGTAATATGAAATAAATTACCTTAATCTCAATGTTCTAGGTAATTACCTTAGCGTGTGGAATTCCTGTTGTGGTGTTAAATGCTGGTAAAAGTCTTGAAGCTAAATCCCGTGCCATGGTCAGCAGCTCTCCTCGATACCACCCCAGTGCCCCATACAACTGGTGAAATACATGATCATAACTTGTAAATCTTATTAGTCTACATACTACAGCATACAAGTGACAACTAAAATCAATGCAAAATTATATTTCTAATCTGGCCGCACACTAGAGTACACCTTGTAATAATTATCCTTTGGTCTTAATGGTCTGTACATTCTACAACTTATTCCTTCCATCTGTATTAAGCATAGCATTTCTGTAAAAGTCACTTCTTGAACATCAGTGTGAAATTTTCTGGTATAACTAAAACACAATTTTTGTTTTTCATGACTGTAGAAGGCTATGGAATAGTGAAAATGCTCACCTGGTTAAGATGTTCAGCCATCACATGACCGGATATCAATCCTCCAACCATACGGATGTTTGTCTCAAAGACTGATACCACTACATCGTTGTCAAAGGAAACATCTCTAACTACAAGACGAAGAGCACGATCAAACTCCTCAATGTCCCCCATCACAACTAGTGTATCTAAGGCATCCACCAGCGTCAATGAGAAACTGAAAAATAATTTTCTTGAAATACAAACCAGTTATACCAATCAATTATGTAACTCATTTTTTTAGAATGCAATCCATATTTTTTTTTCCTCAAGTCGGCCATCTCCCACCAAGACAGGGTGACCCAAAAAAGGAAAACACTTTCACCATCATTCAATCCTTTTGCCATCATTCACACAAAGTCTTTGCAGAGGCACTCAGATATGACAGTTTAGATGTCACTCCAAACCGTTAATTTCCCAAACTCCTCCCATAAAGTGCAGGCATTGTACTTCCCACCTCCCTCCCTCAAGTCCATGTAACCAGTTTCCCTAAATCCCTTCACAAAATATTACCTTGCTCATACTCCAACAGCTCGTCAGGTCCCCAAAACTATTCGTCTCCATTCACTCCCATCTAACATGCTCACACATGCCTGCCCTTTGCATGCAAAAACTTCTTTTACCCCTTCCTTGCATCCTTTCCTAGGACAGCCCCTACCCCTTCTCCCCTCCACTACAGATTTATACACCCTCCAAGTCATCCTATTTTGCTCCATCCTCTCTAAATAACCAAACCACCTCAACAACCGCTCTTCAGCCATCTGACTAATACTTTTAGTAACTCCACATCTCCTAATTTCTACACTACGAATTCTCTGCATAATATTTACATACAACATCTCCGCTGCCTCCACCCTCCTCCTCGCTGCAGCATTTACAACCCAAGCTGCACATCCATAAGAGGGTGCTGGTAACACTGTACTCTTGTACATTCCTTTCTCTGCCTCCGTGGATAATGATCTTTGTCGTCACGGATACCTCAATGCACCACTCACCTTTTTTACTTTATATTTATATTAAGAAAAGACAGAATGTGCCATAAAAGTTTTAAAACAGTAGCTCTGGTGTGAAAACTTTTCTGTTCAGAGATTTATATGGCCTCAGAAGAACTGGTTGCCAAGTCTGGCTCAACATGACATATGCTGTAGTGGTCCTCTTAACCCTTTGACTGTCGCAACCCCCAATCCTGAGGTGTCTCCTGGTGTCGCAAAATTTCAAAAAAAAATATATATATATTTTTTCTTATGAAATGATAGAGAATCTTTTCCCGATTGTAAAGACACCAAAAAAAACAAAATTTGATGGAAAACTGATGGAATTATGCTCTCGCGAAGTTAGCGACCTTGGCGATATTTACAAATCGGCGATTTCACCCACTTTGAGCCCTATTTTCGGCTAATTCCATTATTCCAGTCAACCAAACTCATAGCTATTTCTTCAGAACTCCATTTTTTCCATCAATTGAGTACAAGAAACTGCCCATTTACCGATTTCAACTACCCAATGACATGGCCAGAAATTTGCAATTTGGCCAATTTCACAAAAATTCAAAAAATATGACAATTTCAAAATAAGGACCAGAATGAACAATGCAGACATTCCTGGCTCTAAAATAACACTTTCTTTGTTCATCAGTCATGTCTCCAGGCCCCTGTGATATTACTCTTGCTTTTTATTTTGAAATTTTATTCAAACAAAAAATAGAAGATTTACTGTTATGCAGATTACTGCAATACTGTAATAATTGTAAAAATTACATCAACCCATTCATGACTGCATATTAGAATGGCTATTTAGACATTTATTGGACAATGACATCATTTGTTTACTTTTGAACATCGGCAAAAATCAAACATTTCCTGTATTTTGTGCTCCATTTCCAGGTTCTTTTTATAGTAAATTTAATCAAAATCACCTCTATTTCTATAATATAGTTTCCATTCTATCAAATGAGACCAAGAAAACGAGAATACAACCACAAATACTATACGAAAATAGACCACAAAGTCGGCATTTTAATTGAAAAAACGGTCGGAGTTCTTTTTTTCTCATTATACACTGCGTGCTCCAGGATTTTTTTTATATGGTGCACACTGACCACACAGACCCATTCTCTCACATGTGGGCCTACCAGCTTTCTCCTGCCTGATTTGAAGCCGCTAGAATTTATGAGTATACAGTGGACCCCCGGTTAACGAACTTTTTTCATTCCAGTAGTATGTTCAGGTGCCAGTACTGACCGAATTTTTTCCCATAAGGAATATTGTGAAGTAGATTAGTCCATTTCAGACCCCCAAACATACACGTACAAACGCACTTACATAAATACACTTACATAATTGGACGCATTTGGAGGTGATCGTTAAGCGGGGGTCCACTGTATATACGTCAAACACGGTACCTCGCAAACGTATATATACGGCCGCGACAGTCAAAGGGTTATCCTTAACATACTGAATGACCCTTAGCTGTCAGCAGATAACACTGACTATTTCTGACGTATGTATACGTCTTAAAAGCCAGTGTTTTTACATATTTATACTCCAAAATTCTAGCGACTTCCAATCAAGCGGGAGAAAGTTGGTAGGCCCAATGTGAGAGAATGGCTCTGTGCGGTCAGTGTGAACAGTACAAAAAATCCTGCAGCACGCAGTGCATAATGAGGAAAAAAAACTCCGACCATGTTTTTGGATTAAATGCTGACTTTGAGGTGTATTTTCGTATTTTATTTATGGTTGTACATATTCTCATTTTCCTGGTCTCATCTGATAGAATGGAAGACATATCACAAAGATAGAGATGATTTTGATTGATTTCACAATGAAAAGGACCTTAAAATTGAGCTCAAAGTAGCAGAAATGTTTGATTTTTGCCGATGTTCAAGAGTAAACAAATGACATCGTAGTCCAATAAGTGTTCAACTAGCCATTCTAATACGAAATCACGAATGGGTTGACATTATTTAAGTTTTTCATCAAATTTCATACTTTTTGTGTCATTACCATCAGGAAACGATTCTCTATCATTAAACATGAATTTTTTTTTTTTTTTTTTCAAATATTTTGAGACACCAGGAGACACTTCAGGATTTGGGGTTGCAACAGTCAAAGGGTTAATATGGCATCAAGACTAATAAGACACTCTTAGTGAATTTCATTTGTACCCACATGCTAGCACAGTGTGTAAGCTTATTTAGGTACAGGTACACATAAGTATAATTATCAGAGTACAGTAGACCATTGTTTAACCCTTTCAGGGTTTCTAACCTAATAGTACGTCTTACTCACCAGGTTGTTGACATACTAGTACGCATAAATTCTAGCACCTTCAAATCTAGCAGGAGAAAGCTGGTAGGCCTACATCTGAAAGAATGGGTCTATGTGGTCAGTGTGCACAGTATAAAAAAAATTCCTGCAGCAAACAGTGCATAATGAGGAAAAAAAAAAAACTCCGACAGTGTTTTTGCCTTAAAACAGCGACTTTGCAGTGTATTTTCGTATGGTATTTATGGTTGTAGTATTCTAGTTTCCCTGGTCTCATTTTATAGAATGAAAGACATATTACAGAAATTGACATGATTTTGATTGGTTTCACAATGAAAACGACCTTGAAATTGAGATCAAAGTAGCAGAAATGTTCGATTTTTGCCAAAGTTCAAAAGTAAACAAATCATGCCACACGTCCAATACACGTCAACTGGCGAGTCTAATACTCTTTCACAAGTGCGCTGATAATATTTATACCGTTTCTACACTAATGCAGTAGTCTGCATAACAGTAAATCTTCTATTTTTTTGTTGGAATAAAAATTCAATGTGGAAAGCAAAATAAATGTAAGAGGGGCCTGGGGACATTACTAATGAACAGAGAAAATGTTATTTTAGTACTAGGAATGTCTGTCTTGTTTATTCTGGACCCTATTTGGAAACTGGCATCTTTTGAAATTTGTGTGAAATTGGCAAAATTGCCAATTTCTGACCACTTTATTGGATAGTTGAAATCAGTAAATGGGTGGTTTCTTGTACTCATTCGACAGAAAAAAATGGAGGTCTAGTGAAATAGTTATGAATTTTATCCACTAGTACACTGGAATTGGACGAAAATAGGGCTCAAAGTGGGCGAAATCACCGATGCGTAAACATTGTCGAGACCGCAAACTTCGCAAGAGCATAATTCCATAAGTTTTCCATCAAATTTCATACTTTTGGTGTCATTACAATCGAGAAAAGATTCTCTATCATTTCATGATAAAAACAAATTTTCCGAAAAATTTTCGACCCTGAGAACAAGTTTAGGAGAGGGCCTCTCGACCCTGAAAGGGTTAACATGGTAGTTATGTTCCTGAAAATGCTGTGTTAGTTAAAACTGTGTTAGACAAACTGAAGAACTTATGGGGAAAATAGGGTTACATTCCTGAGAGCTCCCAAACAGCCAAACATTTTTTTTTTTTTTTTTTAGACCAACAGATCTTACAAAAATAAAAGTGAATATGTAATTGTAGTTCACTGTCATGATATGATATATGTTGTTTTTACTGCTCAAGATTACAAATGCAACAGAAATAATAGTATTTCTTACCTTAAATTGTGGGTGCTTGTGTTTGTGGATGATTGTGGAGAGTGGAGCATTATGCTGTGGTCCTACTGGGTTGAGGTGGATGGCAGAGGTTCTGGTACTGAAGTCAATGGTTGTACTGGAGTATGCATAAATTCTGTAATGTACTTCTGTTCTATTTTACCCCGCAGTACATTATACAACTGACGGTAAGGCATCAGCTGCTCTAGACACCATTTCAGGGTCCTCTTCAGTGGGAAAGTCTAATGTTAGGTCAGTTGGTAAATCAGTCAAGTCAGTCAAGTCAGTCAAGTCAGTAAGTCAGTAAGTCAGTAAGTCAGTAAGTCAGTAAGTCAGTAAGTCAGTAAGTCAGTAAGTCAGTAAGTCAGTAAGTCAGTAAGTCAGTAAGTCAGTAAGTCAAGTCAAGTCAAGTCAAGTCAAGTCAAGTCAAGTCAAGTCAAGTCAAGTCAAGTCAAGTCAAGTCAAGTCAAGTCAAGTCAAATCAAGTCAAGTCAAGTCACACAAACTCATATTTACCTCATTCTTTTTATGTGCACAAAGTGATGCCTCATTACAGCCACAGGCTATCTCTTGTCTAATATCTCTATTTTCTTAGTTAATTCTA